AAAAAAAAAAAAAAAAAAAAAAAACTCAAATTTATCACTCGATCAGCCAATCCAAAATACTTCAAAACTGCACATATTGTCGCAAACGTGACCTTCCGGTAGTTGCTTGTCCCCCCAGTTCGTAATGAAACGAAAAATGAAACGAAAGAAAATAACGAAAAGAGTATATCCTTTGGTATTTCTTTAAATTATACCCTTTGAAACTAAACGGTGGTTTTTGGTCCAGCCTAGTGGCAGTATTTTGAATAATTGTCTACTCGCTTAATATGTATCATTAAATATAAGCAGACGACAGAATCTTATTAAAATAAGTGTATGCATCTTTTAAGTATTGAGCAAATTGGTGCGCGGTTATTTTCCTCGCGTCTGCATTTACATCGCGTTGATAAAATATTTTGTGAACAAACAGTCTATTTTCAAAATGCATAATAGATACATGTACATAATTTTCTGGATGTACATCGATATTACTAAATATCCAAAATTCAAGGAGCAAATCTTAAACACAAAATACTTCAACCCTTTCACCTAGGTTATAATCGCATATTAGATTCAATTTCTGGTGCTCAGTGTTCAGTGCGCCTCTTCCATTCAGTAAAGAAAAGAGAAATGCACTTCATGAATTTAGCTCGATTTTAACAAAATTCACGACTCTCATTCGTCATTCTTATCGGTCGTATGTGATCTCGAATTCCAATATGCTAACGATGACCTACCTCTTGTCCAGCTTTCTGGAGAGTTTCTAGTAATCGAAGATACGCAGGGATTTTTGAGGATGCAAAACAAATGTCGACCCAAAGTTACGATAATAGATACTTAAAACTATAGTCCAAATAAGAATTAATACTAGTACAATTACTATGTGTCAAAAGCCACCTTCATCATGATATGAGACTATGACTGTACGTGTGACACATCGAGGCGTCATAACGTAGGGAAAATAATTAAAATTATTACCCGTTGCTTGAAAAATAGGTTAACTGTAACTCGGAGGCCATAACGTAGCTAAAGGAATTCTTTCCTAAACATCATCCCCTCCGTCGCCAAGAGTTCGGATGCACCTTTGATGATTTCTCTTCGTGTGAGTACAACTCACTTGGGATAAGCATAACTGTACTACTCGTCACAATCATCCATTCAGCCGTTAATGGGTAAAGCAACAACTTCTATACCATAGGCACTGTAAATGAAGGCCAAGTAGTTGTAATTAAAAAGATAAACCGAACTACAATCAGTGAAAGACCGAGCATTTTAAAATTGTGCAAATTACTGTGTATTAACATGAACGTTGTATGTAATTATTTGCTGTAGGCCGTGCTTTATGTCAAAATGGAGAATAACATCATTGTCATAGGCATTTTTAATGAATAACATCCTTGTCACAGGTAATTTTTAAATGATACATACATGAAAAATATCAAAATACGACAAGCTACTGTTTATTTTGTCATTACTATCCTTGGTTAGTTCCAAAAATTTAATCTCAAAACAATAAAAAGTTTCATCTCAAAAATTACTTAATTATATATTCCACATATTAAATATAGCGTTAAAATGACAAGCAACCAAGGTAGCTGAGGACAGGAACAAACATAATTTAGGATAAGTAGAGTTAAAGCATAAATTTCTTATATTACATCAATTACACTGGTATATATCTGTATTAATTTCGTCATTTATCACTAGAAATGGGCAAAGATTTCAAAGTGCTTGTTTTCTTGCTATAATGACTTTAATTAAATATTTGTATCAAGTTCACTTAGGGGTAATGAAAAAAGATAAAAAGTCGATTAAATACATATTGAATAAGGACTCTCTAACCAGTTCTAACCAGTTACAATTCAAACCATTCCAGACACGTGATTACAATCCCCATACCCTTCATGATCCCACCAACAGTTCAATCTGCTAACTATTTCAGTCGTTGATTACATATTTAATTCTATTGGAGCGAGTGTGCGCGTGCGCGTGCGCGGATGGATGTAATTACTAAAGCAAAAGACGTCCGAAGTGAAACTAAAGCGATCTAAGTTAAGTCTTGTAGGAACGAGACTTAATCAACGGTCAAGTTAAGGTACGAACCGTTTCCCACACGCCATCAGCAAAACGCAAAATTATCCACCGGCCCAAAATTACATTAAAATGTACCAGTAATTATATCTTTTCTCACTTATTAACGTAGATAAAGCATGATAGAGTTCGGTTGTCCGTGATGGTGCATTGTTATCTCAGTATGTTGATGCTATATAAGCGGTCGCGGATTTCACGTTCGGAACGTTCTTTGAAGCCCACAACCCTTGCTGTCGCCAAAGAAGAGGTGCCGCGGAATCCAAGCCACAGAGATGTCCAAGCTTGCTGTTTTGGTTCTCGTCGCAGTTGCAGCGATGGGCATGGTGCAGTCTGAGAAAGTAGGGGGTAGGTGGACCTTTTAAATATTTACATAGCTTTTGAATGTGTGGAAAATGTTAGAGGGACATTCTAAGAAAATATGACAAAACAGATCTTAACGTCATCCGATAATTCCCCTGTTTTTCATTTTCATTGGAAAAATCATTTAAAAGATAAACGTAGATAACAATGTTCTAAATGCTTAATATCTTTGCTCATTTGGTAAAAATAAACACACCAAAGTCAAATAATTGGAACGTAATCAATTTACCTAGTAATTATGATAAGAAACATTCGTGTAAAATTTCAAGAACAAAGATATCCATGTTAGTATGTTGCATCAAGCACTATGGCTCGGGAAAGCCTCTTTTTACTAGCATAAGGTCGCGAAATAATAATAATAATAATAAAATCATTTACATCTACATTTTAGGTTCTTGGTTTTTTCGCCCATACCCACCGCCAGTGTATTACCCACCGCCACCGCCAAGTAAGTAGATGTTCTTATATCTTTACCTTGAACATTTACTACCGAGTGTTGCCAATTCGGTTTGGATGCAGTGCTTTGAATGAATAACTAAGATTCGCAATATTCGATCAAATGTCATTTTTAGCAGCAATTCGTGATAATAATTTGCTCCTGTGTTTTGAATTTGTCAGCATGGCTATAAACATGAAACTAATGTGTGTGTGCGCGCACGGGCGTGTGTGTGTGTGTGTGTGTGAGAGAGAGAGAGAGAGAGAGAGAGAGAGAGAGAAGAGAGCAAGCCTCATAGATCATCTTCAAATATTATTTTCCTTGTCCTTGAAGATCTATGCAACTTATCGACAGTAAGATATTAACAGCAAATTAATAGGATGGGTAGTGTGGGCGTGAGCATGTGCACGATGTTCGTGACCGTGTGCACGTATGTCATCATGCTTGCTGTAGCATGCGAAAAAAAGTTCTCAGAAATGCTGAGACGTGTTTAAATGACCCACAACAACCGCAAGGCACTTCTTTGGAATTCCCCTTTTTATTTGAAATTTGTTAAGACAGCGTTTTCCTTCATTCCAGCTTACACGTGGTTAACATGGGGACAGTGGAGCTCCTGCTGCAACGGCTTGCAGACAAGATTCCGCAACTGCAATAAGCTGACCGGGATCGGCCAGACCGGATGCGCCGATGCAAGCGTCCAGCACCAGGCGTGCACCCCCACCAATGTCTGCTGAGACAACTCACCACTTCATCGTATCTGCCTCTTTACGTTGGCTGCTCACTGATCTTCTCGATACCGACGTCTTGCACACGCCATTCATATCTGCACTAAACCAAAGCACTGACAAATGAACTCGTACAACATCGGCTACTTCCGAGGTGGAGGGAAAACGGTCACGGAATCACCCGAGCTGTGAAAAGCGAATTGATTTGTTGGTTGATGCCGTATTGAAAGAAATATTCTGAGAAAGGATATAGATTGACGTTTTGTAATAAATCAATAAGTACTAAAAGACAAGATATAGTTATTTTTATTTCTATATGATTTTAAAATGGTGCTAATCTCTTCACGCGGTTTGTCTCATGGGTACAGGTATATATAGGTATTTAAAGAATATTGCCAGTCATTAGAGAGCACGTCTTCCTTTTCGAGGAAATCTCTTGCTGTGTACAACGAGTTTGGAACTGAGTGAGCTTGTGTTAATTTGTCGTTTAAATGCACAGCTTTTCTGGACTAAGTCCTATCTTTTTTCACAACAGAAATGTTTACTTTATTGCTAATTGCTCATGTAGCACAGCAGAGACATATGGTGCCAGTGCACATTATAGACATACAAACCATTCACTATCCCATAAGAAGATAATACTAAGGAATACATACAAAAGCTTTCTATTGTCTATTGTAGTGATAATCCATTTATTACAATTTCTATATCAAGTTTGCATGATTAAGAAAGGAGATATCCGTCAAAACAACATACAAAAATTATATATATATATATATATATATATATATATATATATATATATATATATATATATATATATATATATATATATATATCTTTGTTGGCATGTGTTTGATCTGTGTGTGTATTAGCGCGGGTGTGAGGGTATGCGAAAGTGTGTGTGTGTGTGTGTGTGTGTGTGTGCGTGCGTACGAGTGCCTGGAGGAATAAATAATGCCATAAATGCCAGGTTGTCATCTAAGCCTTAAAACCGCAAGCTAACGGTCCGTTAACCAAGATTTTCAGCCAGATGACCATGCGGTGGACCCGGCCATTAAGAGCTGATAAAACCCACTGGAAAATGTCAAAGGTCACGCGGATGATAGTAGTCACGGTATACGCCTAATAACGGGGTTTTAAAATGCTTAGATATATATCAAGCTTTCGAGAGTACTAAAAGGCCGGCTTATAAGGAGTGAGAACTCTTTGTTCATTTGATGAGTAGTAATTGGGATGTATACTTAATGTTGAAGTTATGGATTAAATTCTTTAATATTGCTAAAAATTGAGTTAATATAAATTTTGCGTATGAAGCATGTTGAACGTCCCATCAAGTGGATGTTACACTCGTTATTGGATCAAAAATCCCACATAATGAGGGGAAAAACATGAAGTAGAGTATTGTGGAATTTTTCTGACATAAAATGGGTACCTTTCAAGTTATCTCGAAAACAATCACATATGAAAGACATTTGAAGAAATTTTTCCATCCAATTCAAGCGTTCATTTAGTTCCCAATTCAAGTATGTTAAAAGGGGTGGCCATAGCTCCTACTGGAACATCCTCAAACCTATAATAAAATGGGGGAAAAAACAAACAAACTAACAAACAAACAAATGAAACAAATCCATCAAAGTCCATCACGAAGGTATAAAGTGTAGATATCAGTTTGAAGCAGGAATTTTTCACATATCTCTCTTATGGAATTGGTAACAAGGGATAACAAGGAAAAAGCAAAGAGCTACCGATGTTATTGTTTCAGGTGAGTGACGTGTTTTACCCCAGTTTTACACATACAAGCACACACACACACTGAGAGAGAGAGAGAGAGAGAGGGAGGGAGGGGGGAAGAGAGGGGTAACTGAACACCATGAGTCAGTTTATAAAATATAATAATGAACTTCATCACTTTAATCAGAAACACGGTCTGAAGCCTAACGGTATCCAATTACCTGGGAACATCTCCAAAACCAAAGAATTGCCGAATAAACGGCAGTTGTAATAGAATATACACGAACGAATACAGGAATGAATTGATGGATGAAAATAATGTAAAGATATAAATTCAACGACAATAGCATAAAAAATAACAAGAAATAAGATTTACTTTTAAGATCAGCAATGGGTATAATAACGTAGATACCCGTCTTAACCAATTGCAATGTGCGATAGGACTGTCAACAAGGTTATATTTAACTCCTCTGTAAAGAGCTGCTACATGAAGACATCTTGATTGCCGTACTACCCAAGTCTTGCCAATGCCAACTCTCGTTGACAGCGTCCCTCACTTCGGTGTCTGTCACTAACACGTCATTAAGGAAATCTAAACACCACTTTATCCGATATTCATCTTAAATTCTAATATTAAAGGTATACGGACCATGAAACCCAAGGAAATGCCTAACATGTTACGCTCCTTTTGGTGGTTATACATATACGAGTTTCGTTCCTGGTAATCATTTAAACTGACTTGTTCTTTGAGTCTTAAAACAAATCATTATTACCAATCTTTTAATTTGACGCTCCATTTTGAAGGATCGGATTGTACCGGTAGAATGTGTTTGCTGTAGAAGAAGGCCAAAGCAGACATCTTGTGGATACGAAGTGTTAACATTTCACGGCAAGGAGAGAGATAGCTCTCGAATACAAAGACAACGATGATATTCAAGCGTGCTTGGACTGTTACATTGTTTTTTATTGTAATTGGGATAACAACACACAGCAGAGGTAAGTCATATTTTTTCTGTTTAATGGATACTTTCTACTGGAAATATCAAAGTAAATAATAGAACATTTAACTGAGGGAAGTTCAAATATAGACTAAAATTCACCATGGTGTCTTTTGAAGAAGTAATGCCCGAAATTCAAAATGACTCAGGTTTTTGTCCGGCATTTTTTGCATGTGAGTTATTTAAGACCTTCACTACATATCCCTAAATCTTGTAAACGAATATTCCTTCAATTACCAAGAAATAACGATTACAATTAAATGTTTATTGATAATAATTATAATAGATAGCATTGCATAAATTATGGTATTGCCATCGCATATATTTATATAACTCAATTGGGGGAATCATACACGGTGAAAAAAGAATATAGATTTCATAAGAGAAATGAAGTACTAAAATGCAGTATAGAAGACGACTTTTTCTGTCTTCAGGAGACCACGAGGGAACGGCTCCACAGGCCCAACAAAACGTGGCGTACACTCCCGGCACAGCGTACCAACCTGCGTACACCCCTGGCACCGCGTACAATCCGTACCAGCAGGCGTACACCCCTTCTACGGCATACAACCCATACCAACAGGCGAACAGCCCTTCTACGGCATACAACCCATACCAACAGGCGAACAGCCCTTCAACGGTAAATAATCCGTACCAACAGGCATACAGGCCCGGATCCACGGGTACATCTCCGTACCAACAGGCATACTTAGTCCCAGTCCAGCAGGTCTACGGTGGACAGCAGGCACCCACGGCGCCACAACAACCACAGAATCCAGGGGTTGGATATACTGGGCCTAATCCGTACGGGCCACAAGGACAGCCAGTACAACCCCAGCCAGGAGCGTACAGTGCGTACCAGCGATCTCAGACCTATGCTGGATACAATACACAACCACAGGGATATGTAAGGCAGCCACAGACGTACGCGGGGTATGCAGCTCCTCAGGCGTACAGCGGATATAGTGCTCCTCAGGCGTACACCGGATATACGGCTCCTCAGGGGTACGGGAGTCCTCAACAACAGCAATACAGTACGCAACAGTACGCGCCATCGTACTACCAACCACAGGCACGACCATATTACGGAGGCGGACAATCTCAAGCATATACGCTACCGTACTCCCCTACGCAAGCGTACGGTCCTCCTCAACAGCAACAACAACAACAACCTAATGTTGGCCGACCACAGCAACAGGTGTCCTACTACGCACCACCGACGCAATCGTACAACGCACAACCGGCACAGCAGTCACAATATCCTGCTCCACCACAGCAAGTCCAGCAATACGGAGCGGGAGCACAACAATTGTATTATAGAAGCCCGACATATCCGGCTTATCCCGGAGTCCAGCAGCCTTATCAACCTTATGGGAACCCTCTTGTCCCCCAGCCAGCGCAGCACTCCGTGTCCACGGCAAGTCAAGAGAGAGCATTTAAGTATTTAGATTACGCTGATAATTATGACAGGAATACAGCTGAGCAGGAGGCACAAGCAGGGACGACACAGGAAGAAAGTATGTCAATTGTGTTGTCTATCTTTAACTTTTCTGCCTGTCCCTCTCTCTCTCTCTCTCTTAAATCTGCTAATTTCTATCATTTGTGATGTGTGCTCAAATTGAATTGGGGTTCAACATCATTTATATCAGTGTACGGCCTTTTCGTTCAGCTTGACATTTTTATCATGATAACATGGGAGATGAAAATACATGTACAAGTCTAATTTAATCATTCTTTTGTATATTTAATTACTCATCATGATGACTGGTTTCAATCTGTAATTTATGGATGTTGCTTTCTCATTCAGCGCAAGGTGGTTGGGCCCCTTGGAGCCAGTTTGGTCAATGCTGCAGCGGAGTGCGCATGCGCTTACGCTCCTGTAAAGAGGGTCATCTTCTTGGGACGGACTTCTGCAGCGGGGTGCCGTTAGAATGGGACAAGTGTGCTAATGGAGACGAGGATATTTGTACCCCTACCATAACTTCAGATGGGAGTTAGTCTTCACTCGTTCGACGTGATGGGCTCTCTCGTTCACAAAAAGCCAGTTCCGAACATATGCAAAACATCTCCCGAGCTTCATGTAACATTTGATAAACAGTTTTATGTCATTCAGGTGATAGTAGTTACGGCTAGTTCGTTAATACATGTACATGTACTTATTAGTTAACTGTTTAATTTTGAATGTTTGGAGATATGAAATGATGTTTTTGTGTCGTCATAAAGATTAACAAAAAATGTTTCACCAACGGAAAATTTTGATTAAACCACCTGTGGGTCTAAAAATGACGTTTGAGATTTAATTTCTTAAATTTTCTTTTCTGGATAAAAAAGGGAGCTGCAGTATCATATATAAAACTATGGAGCAAGTAATATGTTTTCTATTTACAATTAACTTTATAGAGTGTTTTTATGTTTCCAAGGCATGTACCTTATTTTTGTTTTTTTTTAAAGAAAATACTCGGTCAGAAAAACCGATGCGCAGTGTTAAAATGCAGTACAAGAATGCAAACATTCACTTGATTGAAATAAAAACAATATTAACACCATTATATCATTATTTTGTTTTTGGAATTAGACAGAGGAATATCTGTATCAAATTTTGATTTCGACAGAAAAGTTTGATCACTGTCGCTTAAATTAATACAGTGATTTTCTATAAAGAAAAAATGTACCCAGGCAGACAAGGTACTACTTTGCACATTGATTTTACTTATCTCTATTCAATTTGAGCGTTACAAGTGCATAGGTACCCAGTGTGTTTGGAAGGGAATGGGAATTATTAATTTATAAGAATGCTGATAAAGACTGTAAAATATTAAGCTTACAGTACAGTGAAATGCACTCCCCCATTGGACTTCTAAGCCATCTTGAGGAAAATGAAACCCTTTCAATATATCAAAAGATACGTATTTCATTTGTTAAAATATGTCATGGAATGTCGCCTTTCACAAAGTTTAATTTAATAAAAGCATTAATAATGTATTATTATCAGTTTGTAATTATGAAAGCATGCGCGTGCACGAGCTTTTTTATGTAGCGTTTACTATTAAGGCCAACTTTTGGAAATTTCAGGTAGTCTTATTAGTTAGTATCATTATCCGTCTGTGTCGTATTTTTTCACGGTTAACGGGTTTTCAACTTGTATCTCCATGTAACCACATTCATTATCATTTAAAGACCACTCACGGACAAATGAGACGCCAGGTCGAGCAGAGGGACGTCGCTGTCATATACCATCGAACTGTGCATCAAAATGGCGGAATTAACGACATTAACATCTGCCACAAATTACACGGACAGCGAGGAAAGCGATTAACATAGAAATAATAACAAGTATTAAATTATGACCAACCAAGGAAGTAATCGTGTTGATTGTATGCATGACGTATGTCGACCCGAAAGAAACAACATTGTGTCCTGATGGTATGGTGCTTTTTCTTTTGGCTGCACGTGCTCTATCGGGTGTTCTGTCACCTTAAACCTGTCCTAAAACCCAACAGAAGGACAGGCGCCGACGGGGGCGATTAGAAAGGACGGGCCACTTTAGCGATCTGTCCGTCATGCATTTTGTGAGGCTGCTTTATGCTGTAGTTGTCATCTGGCTAAGGTTTTGCGGAGGTAAGGAACGGTATAAACCGGGTAAAATTATATGATACGAAGTAAGGTGGATGGCCTCTTGGTGTAAAAATGCTTAATTTTTCCAGTCTTTTTTATTTCTTCATTTTTGTTCTTGGATGGATTGTACTCTACCTTTTAAACACAATTGTCCGCTACCCACGTTTTGTAGTCTTAAAAGGTAATGTCTGGTGAAACTTTGTCAATAAGAAGTTCAGAACAAAGTATAATTTTTTGATGTAAGTGACAGTTGATTGTATTTAAACGTCTCACACATGGCAATTATTAGTCTCGTAATTTAGCCAATGCATCTTAAATCATTCTTTCCTCAAATGTGCACGACGATTGCTCTAACACGAACAGTTTGTCTAAGCCCTTTCACTGGCGTTTCGGGACGGGGGCTTCCTTCATTTTATATGTAAACCTCTTAAGAAAAGTGAGGTGACCAATTCTTTTAGGGGTCATCCATGTTTATCATCGTTTTCACAAGTGTGCATATACAGACCTCCCTACAAGGTGAAAAACTAAAAATGATGGCCTTTGTCAGCAAATTGGATCATCATATTTATCATTTTTTAAAACCGTATAGAGGGCATTAACCACCTCCCCTCATCCCCTCAGCGTACGCTTTAAAGGCTTGTGAAAATGCTAATAAAATGGATGACCCCTTACACACCTTCCTCTACAAATGACGCTTTTATTTCTGCCAACATCAACATTTTGTGTTTAACACAATGGTACTTGTTTTACTTCCTACCAGAAGCACCCTGTTGAATATACTTCTTTAAAATTCCAATGTTTACAAATTTCCATCTAATTCGCATAGATATGCAAATAATCAGCATAGGAGGTACATGTACTTTAACAATTCCCAAAGTGGCTGCAGTGGGACTTTGATAAGGTTGAAGACGGCAGGGCCTCCAAGAAAAATATCAAATAAACCGATTTTGCTCGCACAGTTAGAACAATGATGTGTTTTTTTTTCTTTTATATTTCAGCTCAGTACGGAGTTCCATATGGGGGTCAGACAGGGTACGGGGGTACAGCAAACCCTCTGTACCCCAACTACGGATATGGCAGCAAGCCAGTGTATGGATACTCACCTAATCCGGCGTACACAGGCACGTCGCAGTACGGATACTATCAATCTCCAACTTATAGCGGATATGGATACTCTCCAAACCCAGCTTATGGCGGATATGGATATGGGTACTCTCCAAACCCTGCATATGGATCAACGTCCCCATATGGATACTCCCCCAACCCAGCCTACGGGAATCAGTATGGATATCATCCGCCTCAGACCTATCCACCTCCGAAGTATCCACCTCAGACTTATCCACCTCCGAAGTATCCACCTCAGACTTATCCACCTCCACAGTATCCACCTCAAACGTACCCACCTCCACAGTATCCGTCGCCGTATCCGCCCACGCCTCCGAATTATCAGCCGCCATACCAACCACCCACCATTCCGCCATATAAACCAACGCTCGAAGACCGTAAGTACATCCGTTTACTTCCCAGCTGGTTTAATTTTTTTTCCCTTGTTTTAGTTTTGATGAAAGAGAAATGTGTTGTTGTACTTAGGTCTTATGACGAGAAAATGTTGAATGAAAATTTAATTTTGGTAACCGTTCTGCTTTAATGATGACCATAGAATGTAGCACGTTTGTCGTTTGATAAAATGTGTTGAAAACATTTATCATAGTTATTGTAGTCATAAAGATAATAATTATTCTCATTTGCAAAATAAATAATACTTTGAGTAGACCACATTTCCAGTCCAGGTCCCAGTTAAAAAAAAAAAACAACTTCAGTCAGTCCCCTGGCTTAGTTAACTAGGATGCTTAGTCAACTAAGGGGCCATTCAGAATGAGCCGAGCCGAGTACTAGCTGGTCCTCGGCCTAAATATGGCGGACTGTGTCATAATCCTGTAATGGTCTCTCCGCCTCTTTCACGCCTCCCCACGCATCGTCCCTGCAGGGGCCCAGTAATTAAATCTCGGTTCAATTCGACCGGTCGAGGGACGACGCGTGGGGAGGCGTGTGAGAGGCGGGGAGACCATTACAGGAGTAAGCGGTCTTACTTTCATGTAGGACTGCCATATTTAGGCCGTGGACCAGGTAATACTCGGCTCTTCTCATTCTGAATGGCCCCTAGGATGCCCTTAAGAGTTCCTGATTGGGCAAGATGTGCGCATGTGACCATATAACGTTGGTAAGAAATAATGTATGATAGCCAGTGGAGCTGACTTGTATTTAACGCTGTCATATTAGTTATGACACAGAACCTCCCAACCTCAATGTATCTGTATCGTCTCTTTCGATCCACCAATTTCATGTTATACACTGTATATTCATTAATAATGTCTTATGGCCGATGTATTTTCTATGTTGTACTTTTCCCAGTGCTGCGCGGCTGGGCCACATGGACCGACTACTCGGACTGCTGCGCAGGCGTGCAGTCCCGCATCCGATACTGCCTGAACCCCCGAGCCCTGGGGTCGGACCCTTGCAGGGGAGCGGCCGTGGAGTTCCGAACCTGCGGCACTACGACTTGTGTCTAAGCAGCCTGGTAGTACATCAAGGCGCTTTGCCACACCAAGGCCACACAAAGGGCTAGGATAGATCTGAAAATCGACCATAGTGCATCGCATGCAGTCAGAAAGCCTTCATTTTCATAGACGGATGCAGGGTGATGAAGGGGGGTGGGGGGTGGGGTGGTGGTGGTGGTGGGTGGGGGGGGGGGTTGTCGTCTTGATATATGTCCAATGGCCGATCTATTCTGTGATAGCTAAGGAAACAAACCATTTGCTTGTCTTGTGGACTGTTTTCTTAAGATACTGGAGCACACCTCTGTACCTGGTTTGGCTATGTGGGTAGGAGCAACACGTTCATGATTTGGGCTATTCAGTGACGTTAAATGATAAAGAATGGTTGATTCAGAACATAACGATATATGTCTTTTGAATCATTATATAATGATAACAGGGGTAAAATAGAACGGTATTTGATAACGATCTGCTCCTAATATTACATGTAGGTGTAATTGTAATGCTTCCGGTGCAGGCTCAGCAATAGTAACGAGGTTTTATGTTTGTAATAGCAATGGTTTCTTCTATGGTGCATTCAATTTAACATCGAGTGAGCCTTACAAAAAAATTAAAGTCATGATATATGACTTTATAAAAAAACAACTGAAAAAAATAAAAAAGCTGGCAAATCTGAGATTAATTTATCAATTGAACTTTAACTTAAAGATGAAACCCAAAAACACATAAGATCTGATAAATGATTCTAAAACAAGATATAACTTACCAGGTGTTCTGCGCAGTTGACTGATTTGAACAAGGTGTTTTAGGGAGAGAGATATATCATACAAAAAATATGAACTAAGCGCAGAGTTGTTAGTGGTGTCAAGTGAATAGAACGTACATCATTTTGTTAATTAAAAAAAAGACAACAAACATTTTTCATGAAGAATGGTACGCGGTTTTAAACATCAGTTGCTTATAGTATGATAAATTTATGATTTCAAAAAAATAAATTTCGAATAAATTTATGATTTCGAATTCTATTTTAGCGTTTCTCTTTTTTTCTCTGCTCAAAAGATATCAACATTCGTGTTCCTGTTGCTCTGTATGTTTTTCATCATTCCCTTCCTCTCTCTCTCTCTCTCTCTCTCTCTCTCTCTCTCTCTCTCTCTCGATTTTACATCAATCTCTCACGCATGTCATTATTTTTAGTAGGTGTTCTCAAAAGATGTTAATTTCTTTGAAAACAACCAAATTGGTGAGGTAAACATGTTAATAGATACAATCAACTGATACGCTTTTCTTTGTGCGGTTTATCAGAGATAAAAAAATAGTCTCTGACCGTTTACGTATGTTTTACTCGAGATAAGTATAGCTATTTAACCAAAATTATGGTATGCTAAAAGATGTAAATGGAGAAAATTACGATTGATGCATGGAATGATATCTTTCTAAGTGTATCCTAAACATATTTTTCACAATTTTGTTTCATCAAGGTATCGGAATTGATAGTAATTTATTGTTGATCTCTATTATATCTCAAGATATCTACCCTATACTTTCAACTACATATGTGACACTAATGATAAAATACGTCAGCAAAAAAACAATGTTGCTGAATGCACTACCGTTGTTATTCTCTGTCTAGTACATTTGTTGACTGTGTTTTAGGTCTATGCGAATGCTTCCTTCTCTTTCAGTTTATATGCCTGCAAGCACGCCTGTCTGACCACCCGTCCGTCTGTCTGTTTGTCTGTCTGTCTGTTGTCCGTCTGTCTGTTTGTCCGTCTGTCTGTTTTTCAGCTTGGTCTTCTTTGTCTTTCTTTAGATGCGTGTGCGTGCGTATGTGCAAGTGTGCGTGTAGACCCTATGTATAGCCAACTCGCTGATTAATATGTCGTGCAAAGACTGCATCCTACGAGCCATTACACGCCTGGGCCCAGTTGCACCAACCGGTCGTAAGTGAGGCGTAGCAGTTGCGCCGGCGTAAACCGGGCGCAAAATGCTACGCCCGAGAAAAGCCAGTTGCACCAAACTGGAATAGTGTTTACGTCGGTCTTAACTTTGTCGTAAATTTACGCCTGCTAGCCAGGTGGAGTAAGTCGGTCGTAGCTCGTTTTGTACTATGGCTAGGCTGGCACAGAGAGATTTTGATGACAATTATATCGTAGTTAACGTAGGTTGTTATTTGTTAGTTTCTTACATAAAACTTCCGCGCCTGCTTGCTAGGTGGAGTAAGTCGGTCGTATATATATATATATATATATATATATATATATATATATATATAAGTGATTATTAAATACATTATGTGTGTAGCCATGTACAAGTATATGCATGTGTTCAAATTAAATCTTACCACTCATGTCGACACGCCTTGGCTCTCAGCAGTACGGTTTCTTTAATTCTTCTCACAATTTTTGACAAACCATAACTAACCATAGTAATTTTTTATTCACATTTTATATCATTCATATTTTACTGCATATAAACATAGAGACGAAAGCTTAAATATCAACATTTAAGGCTCATATGATATGTATTAGGTCTCTTGTATTTCTCAATCTCCAAGATGTAAGATCGATTGAATTAAATGACACCTCACGGTGTAACCATAGATAAAAAAGGTCATGAAATTGTCAGCACTGTTATAAGCTATAAAATTATAAAAAGAAAGCAATGCTGGCTTTTTTGCATTATTTTCAGACTCAATAGTTTCGATTACAAATGTGAAGGTGTTCAAATCCATTAATAGAAATACGTACTGCCTCCAGCGCGTTTTTCTCATTTACAACAGCATACTATAATATCGAACATAGCACACTATAATACTATATTGATTCGGAATATATTATTTACGATTTTATTGGTATATATCCAAGGCAACAGCAAAGTTGACGTATTTTAACGTTCTTATTTCTAAATCAAAATGGAATGATTTAGCTCATGATTTTCTCCGTCACTGAAATGCTCCTTTTGTGTTTATTTATTTCATCATTCCATTATGACTGCAGCTGATAACTCCTCATTTGCCCAATTATACCATCCACGTATTGTTGGCCAGTGACGCAACGGAGCGTTACTTGGGCGTAGTTGCGACGATCAGTTTTTGTCTTGGTGCAACGGGCGTAAGCAGGGAGAGCAAACCTGGCGCACGGACGCCAGGCGTTGCGGTTTACGACAGTCGTAGCCGAGTAAATTTACGCCTTGTTGGTGCAACCGGGCCCAGGTACGGTGGTTATTCGGGACCCAATCATTCCAGCTGATACGTTTTATCTATATATTAAAATTGTCCAGGTACACGTTTTCTGACTTACAGAGGCGGAGGGGGTGGGGTGGGGTGTAGAGTGATATCTCACCATGCTCCACCCAAGTTTAAATAGACAATTAAGGGGTGTGTGAAGATTTATGTATCCATGGGCGGCGTAATATCGTACATGGACGTCATCGAAAAAGATTGCGTTTTATTAATTTTTCGCGAATTGATCATTTATTTATTGCCCACCCTTATCATGGTGATGACCAGGCATATTTTGAACAAGCACTCAGAACGAAACATTTAATGAGTCCAGTAACAAAGAGCTATAGTTCTTGTTCCTCATTTTGTTGTTGTTGTTCACCATAGAAGGTGTGACACCCAGCAAACCTGCGCTGACCACTAATGAGAATCTATCAAATTTATCAACACTTTAAAGTGTTTGTGGTCTTTTCAGCTAGTTTAGTTAAGCATACTGATACGTGGACAGATTGCTGTTTCTTATCTTGGGTTTGACCTTAATAATCTCAGAACATCTGTATATCTGACAAAATATTTTTGGAACATTTAGAGACTTTTTCGAGGATATTTTTGATGTAGTACATGTACATGCAATCCAATAAGTCTTTACAAGAAACCCCTAGAAAACATCTGATTTAAGATTCCATATGTGGACTTTGCCAAAAACACTAAAAAGCATTTTAAAACAACTTCACATTTTACAATTACATTTCATATTGGCTTTTAATTTTCTGTTGCATTTTATATGTACATTTACACGTTTTACTAACTTTGTAGATCTTTATCAATTCTCTTTAAAAATCAACACAAATCTGCCCATATATGGTCCATTATTTGACATCATGTCCATTTTTCAAGTTGGCGTTTGAAAATAAAATTGAGAAAATAGACGTCCGATAATCACGCAGTTAGGCCTATTACAGACACTATTGCCATTATCATCTTGACCGTTCTATCGCCTGACATCGAACGAAATCTCGCATGTCGCTGGCTATGATCGCCTTCCAATTATCGCCGAGTTGACGAAGGGATACAAATACTGGCATTTCTACCCGACTGGTGAACATCAGAGCTCCGACCGGACAGGGAGTGTTCGAGGAGTACCATTTTGTTTGCAAGAAAACCATAATGTTGTGCCTTATATTTTTAACGTGCGTTATAGCTACGAAAGGTAAGAAACTACTTGGATAAATCCATGCTGAAGGTACTAGAGATTGTCTCAAAATTGGTTTTAGATTAACCTTTTATGCCTGGTGTATGTTTAATAAAGAGAATGCAAATATTAAAGGTAAACTGCTATTTTACAACTGGAGCTGCATATTTTCTAAAATTGGAGTAGACTTCATTCTGGTCCAAAAGTTAATTACCAATTACGTAGGTTCAAGGTTTTCTTGTGAAGCAATATACAGACCGGTAGAGCGGCAAAAAGGAGTCAGTGTTTTAAATGATATTACTTAGATCTCTGTTTTGCTTTACGTGGGGTGTCGGTTCATTAGAGATATGCTTAAAACTTCATTAGGCATCAAACAGATGTGGAGGGTATTGATTGCCAACGATATGAAGCAAAGCACACGATGCTGAAGATAGTGTTGTATTTTAAATTTTTTTTACAAACTTTTGAAATTGTGCCTGCGAATCAAATCCATCAGGCAAAAGATGTCTGTTAGCTTGATATGTCCCTTAAATTATCCTACATGTTCTATCAAAATGTTGCTGGATGTAATTAAAACCCAATACGTACTCTGCCAACAATATACCAAATTTTTGTACGGAATCTCTTTTGCTTCCTACAGCTACCTATATAGCTCAAGGCCCTGTATTTCCTCCACGACACCCCCTGGGACCTGTGTGGTTCCCGCCAAGAGCCAGGCTTTTGCATTCACAGCAAGTCGTCCCGGGGATTCAACCCCCATCCTCGGCAAGTCAGATACCCAAAGGGATTAAGAAGGTCTCCGCACCGACAGCCAAATTACCCCAAAATATCCACAACTCCTCGCCGCCTCAGCCACCCCCCGTCGGACCCGTCCAACCACCAAAACTTCTCCCCAGGACCGTGTACTCGGCCGCCTGGGCGTTGTGGAGCCAGTACACGCCCTGCACTGCGTCTTGCGGGGGAGGGATCCAGATTCGTCACCGTGAGTGTCTATTGACCAAGACGCAGTTCACCGAAAAGGCCGCTGGTGGAGGCTACGGACCACAAGCATGTGCTGGGGCGACTGTTCAGTTGCTGCCTTGTAATCAGCAGCAATGTGTTGGTGAGTTACTTCAAATTATGAACATCACGTAAGAGTATAAATGGAGTGTACGGAAATTCTATATATATTACAAGATGGAAACGGTTTATGTTTCGTTAAAATCTTTTCTACGCCACAAAATGGATAAACGTAAGCGATTATGCGTATCATGATGAACTTAAATAATTGACAAAAAAAGTAAATATCTATACTTTTAGATTGTGTCTGAACCTTTCCCAACGGCTTCATCTAATCTGCAGCCATAATTCATGTTACATGTATTGTTTCTTTACACTGAGTTAAGTATTCTTCCCCTGTAGTTGTAGGCGGATGGAGCAAGTGGTCCTCCTACACCCCGTGTTGTTCGGGGTTAAAGATACGCCACAGGACCTGTACGAACCCCGCTCCCCTGAATGCTCCTCAGTGTGACGGCCCGGCAGTTGACGTGGTCTCCTGCCCCGCTTCTGAGGACGTGTGCGGGTGCCTGGAAACCTGTGCTCTTAAAGGTATGCTTATATACCTCACTTTTTCTATACCGTGCTTTAGTAGGTATTCCACATTTAATTACTTTGCACAGATGTTATTTGTACCATATTTGGACACAGTGCTGCGGTCTAAAATGAGCAATTTACACTACACCGTAAATAAAAAAATCAAATAAACATAAAGGTTAAATGTGTGGATACAAAGTTTAAACACGTTTCTAATCGCGCCACGTTTTTCTGTTCATAAGTAACTTGTTCTCACCCCTTTTGTATTCTAGTTGACATACCAGTACAACCAGCAGGGTACGGACCAAATCAACAAACGCCAAAATATGGCATCCCATACACCAACAACCAAGGGCAGCACGGTTTAGTGGCAGCTCTGCCGGATGATACCGGGCTAGCCAGTCAACCATCACCCCCTCTTATACTTTCTGGTGGCGCCGTCTACAGTGGGGATAAAAGCCCGGATGGTGTCGCCCACATAGGGGATAAAAGCGGGGCAAACTATAAAGGAAACGGTGTTGGCGCCGTCTATGGTGACATTGAACAAGACAACGTGTACAATGGTGGCGATGGTGGCGCCGTCTACATTGGGGACAGAGGTAACACCGCGAATACAAACCAGAGAGTTGATCCTGTCCAGTTTCCACAACATACCGGTGTCTCTTCTTCATCGTCTTTGGTAACCGCCTTGGTTTCTGGCGGGAACACCAGGAACATTTTGTTTACTGGACCTTACGGACCCGTCGTTAACAACGTGCAGGTACCCAGCGGTAAAGGAGGTAACGTGTATACCGGGCCTAACGTTCAAGGTAATCAACACGGCCAGCAGGGTACTCATTCAGGCGGGAAATTGGTTGTGAATGACGTTCAACCAGGGTTGGTGGGCGGAGATGTTTACGTGAATGACGTTCAACCAGGTTTAGTGGGCGGGGGTGCTTACGTGCATGACGTTCAACCAGGGTTAGTGGGCGGGGATGCTTACGTGAATGACGTTCAACCAGGGTTAGTGGGCGGGGATGTATACGACGGTGCTGCCTCTGGTGGACATGGTCAGGGGCGCATGCCTGTTGTTGCCCATCCTCAGCGACAGCCAATGGATAGGAGTTATTACGGCGATGGGGTTGAAAATACCCGTTAGACCAGGATCTGGTGTGGGGTTCTCTGTAATTGAACCTGGGAATAGCGTTAATTGATAACTAAACGGTTCCTTGAATACTAATAAGCTGCACATTGTTTCTATTTAATATATTTCATTTTTTTAGTTTTTTTTTTTTTTTTTGTAATTTCTTGTACGTAAATTCAGCGCATTCATCTTTATTTATAATAAACAAAAGTGAATGGTTCATCATATTTGCACTTCACCAATTTGATAAAAAAATAAAACCAGATGCTCATTCGTCACCGTCTAATTCTATATTTTTAACCTACGTTGTATCAATATTATTAGTCTTCAGCCAAACTGGGCTCTTTTGGAGTGATATGTCAGCAGTTCGGCAGCACTTGTGTAGACAGTCGCTCATCAAAGACAATACAATTTCGTACTTTAACAAAGCCAAATATTCATAATCTTTGAACAATTTAAATCAACGGAGAAATTTAGATATTTGTTTTTACTCGTAGGACACTATGTATGTATAGCCGTTTTAATAGTTTTTGTAAAGATATGTTTAGTTTCTCTCTTTCATTCTTTAATTTGCAAACTTAAGGCGTATTTTTATTTAAATGAGAATCTTCCTACTAATTTCTTATTGCTTTTAAATAAAGAGTTTTTTTTGCAAAAAAAATTGTTAGCTCCGAGATATATTGCAAATTTTGCTATATTACTTACTTAAACTTTACTTATATAACTGAATGGATGCTATGCACGTGTTTACATTTACATGTCTCACAACCAGTATACAAAGCATAAACTGTTGATACGTCTTCCATTAGTAGTGGGGAAGTCAATGCCCACCTCTTCAACTTTATGCGATGCTGAAACAGAGTGTTTTCCTTCGAGCAAAATCATATCACGAAACGAGAAACGGACTACCAGCAATGCGTAAATAATTGTTACAGTAAATACATTTTTTCTAAAGTGAGAAATGCTGTCTGATCCCATTTACTAGAAAATAAATATTGTTGAGCTGTTTCAACAGTTAAAAGTAAGAATTTCAGCTCTTATTTATTGTTTACGCCAATGTAATTCCTATGATTCAAATGCAGCTAACTTTTATATATTCGCAGCAAGACAAAGTGCATTTTAATATCATTGTCTGTTCATCATAATTTCCTTTAAATATCTTGCTAGGCTTTGTTCACTTGATTCTCTGTTTGATCCAAGAGTTGTCACTCCTTGGAAATGCAATGTGCCAAAATGTCGTCGGTCTGTCGTCTGTGGCGTCGTTATGGCGACGCCTTCAGCTCTTTCAGAAATCTAACGGTTTCCTATAAAAAAAGTAAAGAAAAAATTAATATTTTAGTAAAATCTTTATATCTCCCAACACCACAAACAAAATATGCGCAGAATATAAAGGGAATATATTACTGTGTAGTGACTAAAGGGTATATCGATTTAAGTTTGCAATCGGATTTTTTCACTCTTTTCATACGGGTAGCAGTCTGTGTCACCAAAGGTAAGGCGAGATAAAAAGAGGGCCCCGCTGTCACCAAGCATGTCATATAAGGTGAACGATATACTAAGAGTAATGTGCATATGCAGAGACTTTGCTTACACTATTCGTTGTCCATGATCAAGCTACGTGTCTGTAATTTCTTTGTACTGTAGGTCACAATCTCATTTGCAAGACAATCCACAGCTAAGAGAAACGGCTGACTGTGTCAAATAACGGGGCGTCAATCACCAGCGTTCCACTCCTGTTAACATTTATTTCTTTGTGAGCAGTCAGATTTACTGTCACACCCGCTTGCTGCAGGGGACCATACATTTCTTAACTATGGTTTAGTGGATCATTCGTCTCATCGTAACGGAACCTTCGACCTTTGAGTCACATTCAAGCTGTATCGATGTCTGTTTACTTATGAATAAAACACTATGCGGAAAAACAGTATGCATAAAGTTGAATGTTGAACAGACCTTGACACCGAGTATACTGGAAGTAAGCGATTACTCAACGGGCTAATTATTAATTCTTCCCAGAGTGCAGAAATGTTCACTCGAATTGGTATCTTTGTGGGATTTGCACCATTTGTCCAAATTGCGAGGGGACTAGTGAACAAGTCTTTGAGATTAAAGAAAGTAAGTCACATTGTATCTTCTTGTACCCGATACTGACAAATAGTATATTCATCATACACTGTAAAAATGTTATTAAAATCTCGTGTTTCTTTGGATATTTTGCGGTGGTATTTTAGTATGAATATATTGATATAGTTGTAAACCTTGCACCACGAAATGGTAGATATGTGCACTGAAAACGGAAGATATGTCTTTTTGGGGTTAAAACATTATGTCCATTGTAAACCTTTGAAGGCAAGTGAGTTATTTCTAATCTCATGTAGTTATTGAGTTCATACCGTTTCTTTTAGTTATTTTGAAATTACAAAAAAGCAAGAAACAGGTTTGTTTCAAATGCAAACCAAATACGTTTCAGATGCCAATAGACTACCCGCTGGTGACTGGTTCTAAGCACTGGAGACGTAAAATGCAAACTGCATTTAGGGGTTTAGATTCAAATTCCGACGGCCTACTTACTAGAGAAGATTACCTGATGAGTGCTCGACGCATGGCACAATATTTGGATCTTAATGGTAGCTATAACAAGGGCACGCTAGTAGTTTCAAGTAAACTGGTGAATATAGAGTATCAGAAGAAGGGTTCGATCCTTACTTTATCCTCCCTGGCCCCATTCCCAGCCTTCTGAAAATGCATATAATAAAATATTTTGACTGTTTAGTTTTATATACTGGTAGATAGAACTTGCCTTAGTGGTTATATATATATATGAGGTTACAGAGACTATGCAGGTCTCAATTGTATTAATTTCTCACTGAATATATATATATATATATATATATATATATATATATATATATATATATATATATATATATATATTTCTGAGGTTATAGAGAGGATGTGCGTCTAAACTTTATTCATTTCTCACTGAATAAAAATTTAAATGGGAACAATGAGAACATATGCTTTTTTATCCTAGATAAACAAGCCGAGGCTATTCTAAACCTGCGCCTGAACATCTGGAAGTCATTAATCATTCCGGGTTCTAAAAATGAAATGGATGGTGTATTGTCGGAGAAGGAATTCTGTAAGAATCGCATGGAGCGTTTTAACAATCTGCACCTCCGTCAAGAGTTGTTTAATACCGTCATTTCTGTGGAATTCAGCACCATGGATACCAATGGCGACGGAGCTATATCAAACCAAGAATTTGCTGCATACTGCCACAGCGTCAACATCCCTACTGAATCTTCGAAGAAAATCTTCGGAATCCTGGACACCAACAAAGATGGGTTGATTTCCATCGAGGAGTTCGGTCAAGGTCACGCCGATTTCTGGCTGAGCGAAGACCCAAACAGTAAATACAATGAGTTTATTGGACCTTTAGTTGACTAGGGACGGTCAATACCAGGACCCAGTTTCACAAAAAAATTTAAGTCAGTCACCTGGCTTAGTTGACTAGGATTTCCATGAGAGTGATGCTACACTGCTCCTGATAGGGTAAAACCCATGTGCCCATGTGACCATTTACCTTGGTAATTAAGTTCTTTTTTTGTGAAACCGGGGCCTGCTGTGACAGCCTGGCAGTTTCCTTGAACAGTGCGCGTTAGACCTTTATTCAGCAAAATTATAGTTTTCTGGAAACCCGATAAATTTGTCACTATTCACTACGGCAATCCCAGCCAAAGCTGTTGCGAAAGTTGCAAACTACAAATGTTTAAAGCCGTTTTGGGGCTTAGATATTCTACTTTCTTCCGCTCTGAGTGAAATTCGCCAGTGTTTACTACGAAAGTATTTCATAATCTAGAAACCAAATGCTTCAAACAAGTTGCTGGATTGTATGTCTATGGTTTCAGATTATTATGATGCATCTTGGTGACATAGGGGAAAGTGCTGAAATGTGCAGAGAAATTAGTTCTGCAATTTTAAAGTCTTTCGTGCCTTCAGTATGCCATCGGGAAATCAATGTTGCTATGGCACAGTCAACGGGCCCTGGATTCCAGATGGTTGTTGTTTTGCTGCCTTTACTTCTGCAATTATCGTCTTTTAGCAGGGTGACGGATTTAGCCTTTCCGAAATACCTGTACATGTAGGCCAAAATGTCCAGACCTTTGTGACAGCGATGTTATCTCTATTCTTCTGTCCACCACATGTCAAACTTTTCATTATGCATTGTCAAGACACTAACGTATGTTTTTTGTATGATTTTTGTTTCAAACTAAATATCAATTGTGTATGTTCAATATGAACTGCTGAATGCTCTGAGTCAAGAAAACCGATTACGGGATTTGATGAACTAATAAGTAAAATTAAGAGGCTTTTCTTTCCCAAACAATTGAAATCAATAGAAAGTCAATCACCACTAAATGTAAATTGTAAAACTTCATGCAAAAATGTCTTCAATGCCTTTTTAAAAGATAAGAAGAGTTTATATATGTAAATATGACGGAGCTTAGTTGTAAAAAGCAGAATGATCACAAAAAAATTAAAAAATATTGTGTTCTCTTTTTGGCAACCAGTGAAGTTGTTGAAGATAAATGTGAGGTGACTATAACCGGATGTGGGTAAAAGGGTACTATTCCCCTCGCAGATTGAATAAATGGTATATTCCCAGAGAAAATACGATTTAAAGTGAATATATCTGACAGCTGGGAAGATTAGTAATTGTATTTCCTACTACCCTGAGCAGTTTGAAGGTACACTTACTAGGAATTTCCTGGTTTACTCCAGCAGTTCTTGCAGATCTAAAAGTGTTAAGAACAATGTAAGAAATAGTCAGTATTTGGTAGTATTTAGAATTATCCCGCTGTTAAACCACTTAAACTAGAATACTAGATTTTAATGTCTCATCAACGTTCAGCGCCATGCATACTGTTTGTATTTTAAAGTAATGTCATTCAATAGCAGACAGACAGTTTAAATGCAAATGGCAGTGAACTTTTGAAACAGACGTGTCTCTTCGCCATGTATTTTCTTGCAAATGAGATGGTAACCTACACTACAGAGAATTATTTAACACGTCGACCATGGACAACATATGGTGTAAACAGACTCTCTCCCTGTGTACATTATTATCAAATATCTTTCATCTTATGTTACCTGCTATGGCAACAGCGGGTCACTCTTTCTTTTATTTTTTATCTCGTATAGCATCTGGTGTCATTGTTCAGACCGTGTGTGACACTCTCTGAGTAGGGCATTAGTTATATCCTGATCCGAAATTCTAAAAATGATATGCCCGTCGAGTGGTGTTCCGATAACAAACTAAAATCAACATAGCCACTAAACTAAAGAAACTTGCGAAACTCATGGGCGTACTTTGTTTGCCGAATATATACTTCTTCTGTTATCTTTGCAGAAAACTGTGACATCTAAATAGTACTGTATGTAACGTTAGTTAGTGACAGCATGCAGCGAATAAGAGCGGGGAGTGTTTTGTAGTGTCACTTTAGTTGATTGACACGACCTTATTGTACTTAAGCGAAGAATGTAATGTAGACGGGGAGAACGATGTAAGAGGTTGAACGGAGAGGAATAAACTGTTGATAGCGTAGTTAGAAGAGATAATAAAGAATATGGGAAAACATGGAATTGTTTAGTTATTACCTCGCGCCACCAAGACAAAGTCAGTAACGTCGTCACATGTACGAATTAAGACTCAAATGACTAGTAGACGACAGAATGGAAGGTTGCAAAACCACCAATCAACCGAACAAAACAAAGCACATATTTAGAGATAACTATGATTAACAAAATTTTGTCTTTCTGTGAAAATACAAACGTAAGCTGAATTTAAATCAGAAAAAAATGTATCGACGTGATCAAAACACCTTGAAATTGCTCGCAAACAGCTCTACACTGATATCTATTTTCTCGCGAACTTGTTTCATTTGTTCATGCCGTGTCATGCTAACATAAGCTCTATGGAGGTCTGGTCAGAAAATACGTTGACAAACGAGCATGCATTTCATTTTTTTGCGAGTAAAAATGTCATAATGTCAAAATGTCAAAATGTCGAATGTCAAAAATTCCAAATGTCCCTAAGTTATTACTTTTGGGTCCGTTAACTTCATATTCCTTGTCAGTCACCTTTCCACAAACAATAACGCGCATATACACGGTTAAACTATTTTTTGTGGAAATGGTTGGAAAAGATAACAGGAGCACCTTATAGACTATCACGCGAACTGAAACATTATAAACATGTTTTGATGATCGTTTCTTGGTGTCAAGAGATAAAACCGCATTTTGTATTGTAAAACTTTAGCTAACACACTGCGGTTGACCTCATACATATTCTCTTAATCAGCCATACACACACTGAGAAATACGTGACAACATTCATAGAAAAATCTGAGACCTTCAACCGAGTAATACGAAAGCTCATACATTAAAAGGATTAAAGCAGCAATAACATAAAAGATATCCTTTTTATGTGTCACATAACTTAAGCAGAATTTATATCACAAAAAAACGTAAGCCTTGAAATTATAAGAAACAGGTCTGCACTTATATTCAATATTTGATTTATTCGCTCAGTGCCATATCATACTGTAATGTCTAGATATAGAGGCACATAACCCATTACATCACTCAAATTGAAACATTATATATAAACAGGTTTTGTAATCGTTTTTCGGCGGCTAGAAATAAGACTGCATTTAATATTGAAAACCTTTGAGCTAACACATTTCATATACATGTTATACTTGTATTTTTATTAAAATTGATAAATAGGGGTTAGTATGGAACGCATTTTTAATTTTTACATTTGCCGTAATTTTGTCTGCGCTGTCACGTGATTGACGTGTGTCAATATAGCTTCACCATAAAGCCTATTGTTACCGTATGTTTTCTTTGAAATCGACTTTGTTTGTATTTAACTCTTATTCATTTTTAGTGGTTATTAAATCATTGTTATATTCAGTCAACCAAAGGACCGAGGAACTCATTGTATTTGCTGTTTGGGTCTTCCCCCAGCCAAAAATCGAGATGCCCCTCACCGAACTCTTTAACGGAGATGTAGCCATTTTTGTTGGTGTCCATGACATCGAAGATCTTCTTCGAGTGCTCCGTGGGGATGTTTAAGCTATGGAAATAAGCAGCGTGTTCCTTGGGAGAAATCTTTCCATCACCATCTGTATCCATGGTGTTGAATTCCACGGGAATGACTCGAGAGAACAGCTCTTGTCGGGCTTTCATGTCGTTGAAGGCCAGGATACGATTCTGTATAAACGCATCGAATGATACCTCTTCGGCCATTTCACCTTTTGGGTTCTTTTCGATCGCTGTCTTACAGATATGTAAGCGAAGTTTTACAATAGCTTCAGTTTGGTCCTCTGAAAAAGTAAAGGATTATTTTTGAAAAAGAGAGAGAGAGAGAGAATGAAACATTTGGCATTTATGGCGCCTTAATTGGCGACAATTTATTCTTTTAAACTAAAGAGAATATAACAATAGAATTGGAATTCAAAGTTGCAATTTTATGAAAAACTACCATTTAGACCCAGATATTGTGCTGCGCGCTTCCCACTCAAAATCATGTCTTCGCTGGAAAGACGTCCATCATTGTTAGAATCTAAGGCCCTGAATACGGTGCGCATTTTGCGTGTCCAGTGTTCCGAGCCGGTTAGCGGTGGATACTCAACGGGCATCTGAAATACGTTTATTTGTACAAAATTTGACTTAATTCGAATATGGAAACTTATTATTTTTAAAATTGAAAATAAATGTTCTTTACAGCAACCTGTCTTGTCTTGTCTTGTCTTGTCAGTCTACTGAAACAAGTCACGTGATTTGAAAGAACATTCTGGATTATGCACTGAGATATGTTAAATGATCGACGCCCTTCAGTAATGTTCCTTTGACCAACATTCTTTCTACACTGTCATTTTCTTCTTTGATTCCTGGTAGCAACATAGTTTTCTCAGCATTCATATTCAAACCATACGCCTCATTCCTTTTTTTTTTCGATGCTTCAGTATACTGTTTCAGACTTTAGATTACACGGTTAATAAATCCCTGGTTTAATATGAAAATTATAGATATGCATTTTTTAAAAATAATAACATACTAGTACCTTTTTTAATCCCAAAGGTCGGTTCACCACCTCTCGCTTGGGTTGGGAAAATCTCTGCGATCCCAGGCCAAGACCATTGCGGGTAATCCATGTTTGTGAAGAGTAAATAACCTGCAATCTCCTCACTGGTTGGAAACGTATTGTTAATCTGCTTTCTGTTGGTTGTAAGACTCTGGCTATTCCTCGGAAAGCTATGATAATCCTAGACATGGTGTTTGTGGAGAAATGAGACGTGCTAGAGAATTTAAAATGCACAGGGTTCTATCCACCCCAATGAAACCCGGGATTTTCCTCTATGTAAATGTTGAGGCTATCATGGGGACCATTCCCACAGATATTTGGATCGATCCACCTCCCTGGGGAGTCTCACTAAATTGCTATCAACGTAACCGGCTTAAATGTCTGCCACGCCTAGTAAAGCTGTTAGGGGGTAATTAGCTGATTCGGTAGGCGTGACAAACATTTAATCCTCTTGAGCTGATAGCAATTTAGTGTGAACCCCAAGGGAGTTAGGTCGATCCAGGTGGGTCGATCTAAGTATGGGAACCCAGTCATAAAAGTTACTAGACTGAAAAAAATTTAAAGTAACTAAATGAGGGGAGGGCTGAACAACCTTAGCACCTTGCCTTCACTGTAAATGGAATAGAACTTTTTAAGAGTAAGATGATCCGAAACATAGTGAACAGAAGTGTCCTAAAGATTTGAAAACATAATCTCTTTTCAAATGAAAACCAAAGTCAAGCTTCATTTAAAATCTAACAGTGGCTTGAACGTGATATGTCTGGAAAGATTATTGAAACATGTGTTAGGGATTAGTTATCATAGCGTATCACTTTATATTATACTTTCTGCGTGACTGGAATAATGCCTTATCAGCTCACTGGGGTCATTTTTATCAATTTTATCAATTTCGTCCGAGGTGAGAACAAACATTGCATGTGAATAAATAAATAAACTAGCAAAATTACGAAAAAACTAATGCACACATGTACATGCTGATAAGAGAAGTTTTACTGAAAGTTGCTTTATCTACGAATACGTAATCTACAAATACGTTTATTCCAGGTATTGTTAACGATAAATCTCTACCAGGGCCGCAGGTATTGTGGACATTTTTTGCTGAGGCGACCCTGTTACGTTTGACCATGTGGAAACAATTAACTCTGCCCGCGCGCAAAAGGCTTTGTACTCGCTCTGCAGGAGCTTCGCTTCGCGTCGATGTGATAACTGCTCGTTACGCAACCTGTCTAAGGCTCTATTCCCATAGATTTTAGATCGATCTATCCCCGCGGGGAGTCTCACTAGATTACTTTCAGATAATCCGACTTAAATGTCCGTCCCGCCTACTACAAGCTGTAAGGGGATAATTAACTTTCGTGTCGGCCCTGCTGACGGCTATTTAGCGTGAACCCCCAGGGAGTTAGGTGGATCTAAAGTAGGTCGATCTAATCTATGGAAATAGTGTGTAAGGCTTCGCTGTCTGCTGAAACTAGCCACGTGATTAAAGTCAGAGCAATTACCCGTCTTGATTGCTGTTATGCGTACTTAGATTGGACCTGCCTATTGGCAGTGCCTGAGCAGTTATGCAAACAATTACCAGCCATGTAATCAACCTTGAGATTCTATTACAGGGTGACATCAGACTAAAATGGCTGTCAATTTACCGAGAGACATATCTGTGAATATCTGTGAAAAATCTATCTGTGGCCCTGGTAGAGGGTAACTGCTGCCCAGGTATCAAGCGTCTTCTTAAAATTCGCCCAGCTCTTTCGCCTGAAAAGAACGAAATATCTTAAAATAAACCCCGGGCTCACGCACGGGACCTGCCGATATTTCGTCAATATTAGTGGTGGTATAATTAGAATTCAAAAGTTGCACAAGGCATGACAGAATGGAGGGGCAGAAAAGAGAGAGAGAGTGTGTGAGAATGTCGAACAAAAGGCATAGGATCGACTAGTACGCACAAGTATATCGTGTTGAGCAGCTGAAGCAATGCTCAAACATCAAGTTAATGCAAAAAAATCTAATTGTATTCTCCAGTGAGGCCCAGATATTCTGCAAGGATCTTAGAAGAAGTCACGTAGTCTTCTTTCGTATTGGCATCCATACGCTGGAAAACCGTTCGAGCTTTTCGTCTCCAGTGTTCTGATCCAGTCAACAGCGGGTAGTCGGTTGGCATCTGAAACGGTTTCTGTAAGCGAGAGAAGAAAAAGAATAAAGACAAAAGTATGCTGTTGTAAGGTTTAAACATCGCTAAGAAACTTAACTTGTATCCGATAAAAAGAATTGTTTATTATAAGATGATCACGCACCTTCTTCAATCTCAAGGATCGGTTTATATTACCACTCCTCGGGTTGGTTGGAAAAATCTTGGAAATCCCAGGTGAAGCCCGTTGCCGGATATCCATGTTTGAGATAAGTCGATAAGCTTTACCAGTTTATTTACTGGTTGGAAACATACAGCTAACTTGCCTTCTGCAGGTCCCATGAATCTGGATAATCCTCGGATAGGTATGATAATCCTAGACATGGTGAACACCGAGAAAGCTGACGTACATGTACTAGAGATTTCAAAATGAACCATCTGCCCAAATCTTACCCTGATCTTACCTTTATTCAACGTTTGGGAGTGTTATAAAAGTTACCAGACTGGAAAGAAAAATTGAAAGAAATAAGAACTGAACAACCTTAATATTGCGTAATACTTTAAAATGGATTCAATAGACGGGTGCCTGCTGGAGCGTGCAGTCACAGGCCCGTAACCAGATATTTCAAAAGGGGGGTTCTTTTCTGATAAAGTGGACCTTTTACCATGAAACTTCCATGTACCTTGATTATATTTCACCCAGAGGGGACCTTTTCCCTGCAAATAGGGGGGTTCTTTCGAACCCCCCGAACCCCCCCTGGCTACGGGCCTGAGTCATGACCTTTATACATAAGAATGAGGGCAGATATTGTGTGCAAAGCGAATAAAAATACAAACATCCAGTCTACGCATGTAACACATGCATTTTAATTCTCTCTCTCACACACACACACACACACACACACACACACACACACACACGACGCCTTCACACCTGGGCAGCAGTCGATGGAGACAGAACAAGTCTTAACCAGGAGGAGCACTGTCGAGACCTTCTGGCATTCCTGAATGAAGAACTTTCATGTAGAAAACGAACAAAATTAATCTGTTATTTCCATGTTAATTAATAAAAGACCCTACAGCCGTTTCGGCCCGGAGGCCTCATCAGGGGCTCAAACAGATCAAAATACAAACTAAGACTCTGACTACAAACGGCCAATGCGAAACATCGCACAAAAAATACCTTGCATTAGCAGACGACAGAAGGTTGCAAAACCGCGATTCAACCGAACAAAACAAAGCATATTTATATAGAGAGAATTCTGATTAACAACATTTCGTCTTTCTGTGAAATTAAAACGTAAGCAGGATTTAAAAGGGTATACGTGATCAAAACACCTTGAAATTCTTCGCAAACATCTCTACACTAATATCTATGTTTTCGCGAACTTCTTTCATTCGTACAGTGCCGTGCCATGCTAACATTAGCTCGATGGAGGGACACATTTCGTTTTGCATCACATGTCTGGCCAGAAAATAGGTTGAGAAATGAGCATCCTATTTCATTTTGCGATTATAAAATATTTGAAGTGTTATAAACTCCAAATATCCCTAAGTTATTAATTTGGGCTCCCTAAATAACCTCATTTTCCTTGTCATTCACCTTCCCACAGACAATGACGCTAATGTAAGGTTAAACCATTTTTGTCGTGGTTAGGAAATGGTTTTGAAAGGTAACAGGGGACACCTTACAGACTGTCACGCAAACTGAAAATTATAAACAAGTTTTGATGATCGTTTCTTGGTGTCAAGAGAAAAAAACTCCATTTTATACCGTCAAAACTTTTAGATTACACATTGCGGTTAACCTCATACATATTCTGTTAATCAGCCATACACACACAGACAATTGCATGACAAAATGCACAGAAAAATCTGGTGTCCTTCAACCGAGCATTACAAAAGCTCATATATTGAAATGATAAAATAAAAAGCAATGCTATTAAAGAGCTATTTTTTCTTTTTTTATTTAAGCAGATTTTGTATCACAAAAAAAAATGTATCACAAAAAAACGTGAAGCTTGAAATCATGAGAAACAGCTCTGCACTATAATATCCCATATTTGGTTTAATCGGTCAATCTCATGTAAAACTGCAATGTCTCGATACAAAGACATTACCTATTGCATCACTCGAATTGGAACATAAACAGGTATTGTAATCGTTTTTCGGCGTCAAGAAATAAGACGGCATTTAATATTGAAAACCTTTGAGCTAACGCACATGTGATAAGCCTTATTCATATACATATTTAATTGATACATACGAGTAATACGGAGCGTTTTTTATTCTTACATTTACTGTAATTCTGTCTGAGCTGTCACGTGATTGACGTGTGTCAATATAGCTTCACCATAAAGCCTATTGTTACCGTATGTTTTCTTTGAAATCGTATTTGTTTGTATTTAACTGTTATTCATTTTTAGTGGTTACTAAATCACTTAATATTCAGTCAACCAAAGGACCGAGGAACTCATTGTATTTGCTGTTTGGGTCTTCCCCCAGCCAAAAATCGCGATGCGCCTCACCGAACTCTTTAACGGAGATGTAGCCATTTTTGTTGGTGTCCATGACATCGAAGATCTTCTTCGAGTGCTCCGTGGGGATGTTTAAACTATGGAAATAAGCAGCGTGTTCCTTGGGAGAAATCTTGCCATCGCCATCTGTATCCATGGTGTTGAATTCCACGGGAATGACTCGAGAGAACAGCTCTTGTCGGGCTTTCATGTCGTTGAAGGCCAGGATACGATTCTGTATAAACGCATCGAATGTTACCTCTTCGGCCGTTTCACCTTTTGGGTTCTTTTCGATCGTTGCCTTCCAGATATGCAAGCGCAGTTTCACAATAGCTTCAGTTTGGTCTTCTGAAAAAATAAAGGATTATTTTTGAAAAAAGAGAGAGATGTAATGCAACATTTGGCATTTATGGGGCCTTAACCGATGACAATTTATTCTTTTAAACTAAAGAGAATATAATAAAAGAATTGGAATTCCAGTTTGAAATTATATGAAAAACTACCATTTAGACCCAGATATTGTGCTGCACGCTTCCCACTCAAAACCATGTCTTCTCTGGAAAGACGCCCATCATGGTTAGAATCTAAGGCCCTGAATACGGTGCGCATTTTGCGTTTCCAGTGTTCCGAGCCAGTCAGCGGTGGATACTCAACGGGCATCTGAAATACATTTATTTGTACAAAATTTGACTTAATTTGAATATGGAAACCGTTATGTTTTAAAATGGTGTGTTTAATATAATATGCTTGTCGGAAGAGCAATAATAACCATATTGCCGACATTGGTATACAGTTGTAGTATCAAAGTTTTTGAGCCTAGGGTAACAGCGCTGACTGTGCTGTTAAAATTTCATTATCTTCAATGAGAGTAGGTGGAAATGCCGAAGAACACGAGGAAATAAGATCGAATTCAATTATGAGAAAATTTGATAAAATGAATGTGAATTTTCATTCTTCGGGATACACTTACCTTACCTTAGCTGGATTTCGGACGTGCTTAGCCAAACAACACTTGCCCTATTCTGAATTTGGGCCAACGCTGCATAATGTATTTCCCATTATATTAAACTATTTAAATACAGTAGCTACTCTCACCGGTTTATTATTACCTGCTCACTGAATCAAGAATAAGCAACATCGCATAATGTATTTTTAAACGTTTCTCGCACGAAAATACAGTATTATCAAGGTACAATGTAGAATTTGAGCATTAGTGACGCAGTGGTGTGGAGCATGTTTGTGGTAATACGCCAAAAAAAAAAAAAAAAAAAAAAAATAGGGTTGTGTAGAGTAGCATTCATGCGGTAGATTAGTAGCATTATAGAAGCATTTTCAAATATGCTAATTTTATATTTATTATATAATATATATGATTTTGCAGCCATAACATTGACATGACACACATTCATGCATGTATACATAGGTACGGCAAACACCGACCTCAACAAAAAAATGATTTGTGCATTCATCTCTTTGTTCCGGATGTCCCCCTAACCCCCCCCCCCCCCCCCCACCAAATAAAGTAAAAGTAAAAAGTAAAATAATAATAATAATAATAAACAGTATTTACAGTATTTCAAGCAAAATGAGACCAAACCAAGTGCATCTTTCATCCATTTGCTCCACATATTACAGGGGCGTAACCAGACCTTCAAAAATCGTACGCACAGATTTTTAAAATTCCCAGCAAAATGTAGACAAACGCAAGAGATGAAGGACAGCGTAATTACAGCATATGTACCACACATCGCAGCTTAATTTCCATTAATAATAAAATCATCATTTAGTCAGAAATATTCTCGCGATTAAAAAAAGTTTCAATATTCTTATTACCCAGAAAGGTATATTTATTTAAAAGGAGGCTAGCTTTGCATATGTGGAACCCCCCTCGAATAATCCTGGATCCACCTCTGAGTTGAACTAACATACGGTTTCATTCACCTTACATGTGGATGCATGCCTCCCAAAAACAACCAATTGTACGACACGACAGAGCTCTGATACATCTAAGTTTAATTATTTGTTTGTAAAAATTGCCCATGTCACCCTGTTAGTTTAATTGGAGGGGTAAGCTGGGTCAAGTCCGTGTCAAAATTCTTTGAAGCTTTACAGGAAATATTCTTCCTCTGTTTCTCTAGCTCCTTCTTAAACCTGGAGTCCAGATTTTATCTAGTGCCCCCAGGGTTGCGGGAGCTGCTCTTTGAAAATAACACTCAGGCAGATTTTTAGCTGAGATAAACTGTAACCCAGCGAGAAAGCGTTCGATATTCTCAAACCCACCCACTCCCGGTGTGACTGAAATGCGCAATACACCGCAATACAGCGCAACACAGTGCAATACACTTCAAAAATCAAATCCAGTTGCAGGGGGGTCAGAACAATTGTACCTATACAATTGATACAGAGGATTTGTACATATACAGGTGACTTTAATAAGCAGAGGATTTTTTTTTATATTCCGTGAAAAATACACTAAATTTATATAAAATAATATGGTTGGCCAAAAAATTGTACGCACAGTGCATCCGTGCGTATGCCTAGTTACGCCCATGTATTACACATTTAGTAAAATTGTACTTTTCCTATGTGCTCTTTCCTTGTGTCCCGCTCCCCCCCCCCACCACCACCACCAAACCCCTGATTCCATCATGCAGTGCAATGTTCTCGCCACACTGCCACACTGCCTCTACTTGACTCTAATCCATCGCTGGTAAGTATATAATGGTAATGGAGTGTACGATTTCAATCAAAAATACACAAACTCGAATATTTTCTGTGGAAGTTAAAAACTGGCCTTAGTTTGTGATAGCGCAGTTTCTGCGTTTGAGACGAAGAAAGCTAAGTATAGCGGTACATAACTTTTATTCGTGTAAAAAAAAACACTCCTTTGTTGTGTCATTTGCACGCATGTGCGCGCGCTCTCTCGGGTATTTATGATAGAGAGAAGTACGGTTACATGCGTGGACCGGAAGTTTGCATTTTTATTCACTTTGCCCACAGTTTTTGCCCTCAATCTTAGGTATAAAGGGCACGAGTGCATGCTCCAGCAGGCACCACTCTGTTGAATCCACGTTTAAAGCATTACACTATAAAAAAGGTCGTTCGGCTGTCATTTCTTTCAAAATTTTCTTTCAGGCCTGGTAACTTTTATGAAACTCCCAAACTTTTAATACAGGTAAAATCAGGGTAAGATTTAAGCAGGTGGTTCATTTTTAAATCTCTAGTACATGTACGTCAGCTTAATCGGCGTTCACCATGTCTAGGATTATCATACCTATCCGAGGATTATCCAGAGTCATGCGACCTGCAAAAGGCAAATTAGCTATGTTTGCATCCAGTTAGGAGATTGGGAAAGATTATCTACTTATCACAAACATGGATATCCCGCAACGGGCTTCACCTGGGATTTCCAAGATTTTTCCAACCAACCTGAGGAATGGTAAACCGACCCTTGATATCCCAACTGAATGCTCCAAGGATGTCTTTGATATAATGGATGCCAACGGAGATGGCCTTGTTTCGATTGACGAGTTTGCAGAGGGGTTTCTTGAGTTTTGGTTTTCAGAAGATCCAAATAACATCTACAACCAAGCGTATGGGCCACTCGTTGATTGATCAGTGCGATTAACGAGAACAAGACCGAAGGTTTTGATTTAGATTCTGAATATCACCGGCAATGGCTTATATAAAAATTAGTTTCGTGAAATTATCGGTACGTTATCTATATTCACAGTTACTAAGTATGCGTAACTTTTCAGAATAGATCCAATTCAGAGATGGAGCTTTGTGACTTAAAATATATCAGATAAATGACATCCCCATTTTAGATCTTTGTCATTTTGCATAAGCTATCAAAGCTTTAGACTAGATTAAGTGGGTGATTATTAACATTTTGCCTGAAAATACCTTTTTAAAACAAGTCATGCCAATGTATACGTATAGTAGTGTGAAGCGTTCATAATCATATGCACATAGTCAGGCAGGAATAACTGTATTGAAGAGAAGAATGAACAAGGCCACCCATTACAAAGCGTGAAGCCTAATCCTCTAATAAACACTGAATAGATATCCCTTGGAATAGTATTCAAGTGGGTCGGCCATATTTGACCCTCGGACTAGTTAGTCCCCCATTCAGAATGGGGCCAAAGAAAACAACTGAATACACCATGTATATTGCAGTGTACAGTTGTTTGCACCACACGGCAGACACTCATACATTCGCGCGCTCGAACACTCACATGTGCACACATGCATTCCCACATTCTGGTGCGCTCTTTCTTTCTCTCTCTCTCTCACACACACACACACATATATATATATATAATGAATAATAGTAAATATTAATGATATTATTAGATCGTATGCCATTTAAACATCGATGTCATCCCTGTTGAGATAAAAGGGTTAAATGATTTTGGACATAAAAATATCCGCGAATGTCTCATTAAGTGCAGTTTTATTGCATTCTTGGAGAACGTGTATTATTAGGTAGTTGGGAAACTAATCCCTTGCACACAATTTATGTCTACTTTCCAGGCATGTCACGTTCACGTCAGCCTTCAATTTTGAATGATAGTCAATTCTGGTTTCGTGTCAGTGGATAGTAGGTTTAAAATCCAGCGTTCACCTTGTCTAAGAACATTATAAACTGGTTCCTAAGCACTGCTATGTGTTATTCCGTTGAATTATGGCAATAAGATCCCCACACCCTGAACTATTTTATTATTTCTTTTGTCAGTCTTGTCACGGTCGAGACAATCCCGAAATTTGAATTAAGGCCATATTCAGGTTTGTTTTGAGCGGATAGTACGTATTCGAATCTCTAGTACGTCTGCGTTCTCGACGTTTGCCATGTCTAGGATCATTATACGAGGGTTAACAAGTGCTTACTTTATGCGGCCTGCAACAAGCAGGCTAGCAATACGTTTCCAAGCAGTACGGAAGTTGGGAAGTTTTTTTAACCCTTCGCAAACCTGGACAAGCCGTAATGGTTTTGACCCGAGATTTCCGACATTTTCTCAACCTAAGCGAGGAGTGGCAAACCGACCATTGAGATTAAAGAGGGTATGAGAATGTTCTCTTTTCAAAAAGAACAATATCTATATTTTTCTATCACTACCATTTCTTAGCAATTAATTAACATTATAATCTCAAATATACAACATTGGCCAAAAAGGTTGTCCCACCCCCATTTCCATGTACTTTTATTTACAAATGATCACTTCACAGCTGTAAATTGTTAGAAATAGTGCTTTTTATTCCAGATGCCGTGTCTAACATGATAAATGGTAAAAAATACAAAAAGTGGTGAAAATATACACATTTTATACCATTTAGTCAAATTTATAACAGGTACCCCCTCAAATCCAATGTTTCACTGTGCATGATTGCTGCAGATGTAAGGAAATGTCTATTTAATTGAAAATGCGCCATCAAATGTCAGCAAATTCACACACAATTAGCATTAGGGTGTGCTCGTTAATGTTCACGTGCTTAATAGCGTGTGCGTCTACCGCGTACTGCAATTACTTCCTGTAGACGGCGCGACAAGCCTTCAACACGGGTAACAATTCTGTTTTGTGGGATATTGTCCCATTCTTCTTAAACAGCTTGGGGGAGTTGGTCCACGTTTTGATGGGATTGGTTCTCCTCCTCTGCATTGCACACTCATGTCACAGTTGATCAGTAAGGTAAATATCAGGGCTCAAAGATGGTGGTTCCATCCTTAGAGCGTTATATTTCTACAACAAATCACTTGCCAGGCGAGAGGTGTGAGCAAGTGTACAGCCATGATGAAGCCTGGAGTGTACGATTAGTCCGCATTTGGGGAGCATTCCCAGCCCATGGTATTAGTTCTGAACAAAACGTAACTTGGGCATTTTACTGTAACATTCTCAGCAGAAATCTGACTCCATTTGCAAGAGGTGTCTTCAGGGACAACCTTTTTGACCAATGTTGTGTGTTTTAACATAAAAATCCCTTTAACTTAAAAGGTTCCGTTGTCTATTTCTTTTGTATTCAAATACTTTTCAGATGCCAACCGACTACCCACTATTGACTGGATCAGCACACTGGAAACGAAAAGCTCGAACGATTTTCCAGCGTTTGGATGCCAACGCCGATGGGTACATGACCAAGGAAGACTTTGTGATTACTGCTCAGAACCTTATAGATTTTTTGGGGGTCAAAGGTAAATATACCTCTATATTATCCCTTCCCAGGGTCGTAGGCTGTGTTGCCTGGGGATGAGCAGCTGGTGGGAAATGTTTTTTTCAAACTTATAAAGATATGAAACATTTTCCACAAATCTCTGGAGGGGCAACTGCCCACACCACCCGTTCTTCCCCGATCCTCTCAGCCCAATGCACTGACGCTATAAAGTGCAGCAAAACAAAGTTTTTGTACAATGTAGGCCTACTGTCATTTTATTTTTGAAAAAAGCAAGTATGTGAATATACATTAAGATTAACAAGTGGTGTTTTGAATGAAATACATTTTGCTCACTGGTCTCTCTCTCTTTCTCTCTCTCTCTCTCTCTCTCTCTTGTGGCGTGGGAACCTTTTCTAACTATACTGTCAGTCATATTAACACACACAATCTGTTTTGCCTTATTGTTTTGAAGGCATTTAATAACCCCTTTTAGGCGAAAAAGTTGAGCACATTATGAACCGACGCCTTGAACTCTGGGCAGCGATTGCTGGAGACAAAACACGTCTCTCCGAGGATGAATACTGTAGCAGCTGTCTGTCATTGGTGAATGAAAGACACTTCCGACTGGAGTTATGCTATACTTTCATTTGCACGGAGTTCAATACGATTGATATCGATAGTGATGGGTTTATATCCAAGGAAGAGCATGCTGCTTATTTTCACAGTGTCAACATCCCAACTACATACTCCAAGGACAACTTTGCTATACTGGACACCGACGGAGATGGTCTTGTTTCAATTGACGAGTTTGCTGAAAGTTATCTCGAGTTTTGGTTGACCGAAGATCCAAATAACATTTACAACCAGAACTATGGGCCCCTCGTTGATTGATCAGTGCATTTAGGCCCCTATTTCACACAGACCACGAATCCCACGAATCTCCAGGAATTGACAAATTTCAGGATTCGTGAGGATTCGTGAGATTTTGCCAATTTTCTGGTCTAATTCGACACGCTCACGATTCACGAATAAGGTATAATTTCTTTTTTTGATTTAAGGTATATTTTCTGTTTTTTTTCTGTGTCTGAGTTTATATTATAAATATTCAATGTTCGTTTGAGTGTAACGAATTAGATCATAATATGTGTTACTATGACTGCTTCTAGTATGTGTCGGTTTGCATACAGTATTGACATGCATATTTATACTATACCTGAATATTTTTAGCGTTAAAAATAAACGAAAAAATTCATTTAATCATCTTAATGATACTTATTTTGTTGCAATGTCGTTTACGTATTGTGTGTGTGCATTGGATATGGTTATTTTTGCTAGCTCATTTATTCACATGCAATGTTAATCCCCGGTTCAGACGAAATGCATTAAAAAAGGCCCGATGAGGGTTTACTAAGCTCGGGCCTTTTCTTCGTAGAACGTACGACATTATGCAAAATGGTGTGGTAACAAATACCTCACACACGTTTCCCTTCTTCTTTCCAGGCAAGTCACGTTCATACATCCACCATTGTTGAATTTTAAATGGTCGAATTCGGGTTTCATTTCAGAAGAGAGTAAGTTGTCAAGATAAATTCATCGTACTAGCTGGTTCGATCTAACTCTGCGGATACATGGTTCTCCCTGCAAACACCGTCATCGGCTGAAATGTCTCAGGGGTGGATCCAGAGATATTTTCTGACAGGCCTCCGAATTATCTTTATTGATCCATCCTCCATTTTTGACCGTCGTCCGACAGAAAAAATTAGATATCCGTTGATGTTAACTTGAAAATCTGGCCGTCTTCCGGAAGACCCAGAAGACGGCCTAAATCCGCCCCTGTGTCTAGCAAGCCTCCTTGAGAAGCTAGGGAAAGTGAGCTAATTAACTAGCTACTCAACGAGGCATATGCTAGACAATTAAGCTGATTATTCTGGATACCCTTCAGCGAGAATCACGACAGAGTTGGGTCGATCCAGCAGGTGCGTTGCTTGAATCTGAGCGTGACCTTATAAAATTTGAATAAAGGTGAAATCAGGGTATCATTTGAGTAGATGGCATGTTTTTAAATTTAAATCTCCGGTGCGTCTGTTTTCTCGACAAACAACATGTCTAGGATTATTATAGCTTACCGAGGGTTAGCCAGTATTATGCGGCCAGCAGCAAGTGGGTTTACAATACTTATCAAACCAGTAAGGAGATTGGGAAAGGTTACCAACTCTTCACAAACATGGATTGCCTACAGTGGTTTTGACCCGAGATTTTCGAGATTTTTCCATCCCAAGCGAGGAATGGTAAACCAGCCGTTGAGATTAAAAAAGGTAAGTCAAATTTATTATGACAGTAAGATAGATAGATAGATAGCCTGTCTTAGGGAGTAGTTTTGGCCTATGTTTGCAAAGTTTTTTCAAACCGTAAGAGGACCGACGAATCAAGCTGTGTCATTATACGAAAGGTACGACAATTAAGGCGCTAATATGAATTTTTATTGTCAGCGTTACATCCAGTACCTAATTTTATCGAGTCATTTAGAATAAATTGAATTGCTCTTTCCTAATGATATAACGCCCCTTCAAGGTTGTCTTAAGTCACGGTTACATTTGGGATGCGTTGCCAGTACCGTGATATGTGCCTGTTGTACCAGTATATAGGGTAGGGTAAATACTATTTATTTTTGGAAAACTCTAGTGAAACTGGTATTTTTACGGGCAAAAAAAGTCATTTCTGAAGAGACATTTGAGATACGAGTATTATTTAGGTCCATCGGTAAATCCACCTTGTTTGGAATCGCACGCAAAAAAAGTGTGTAACTACACATGCATAAAGATGTAAATACCTGTCTTAAATAGGGTTGGGTGAATCTAATATGTTTTGATTAACAGGTGTTTCATATTGCAGAATTGATGCTAAACACATACGGATAATTGTTCTTTCACAACAGGCATTTAGGTTGGTGAAATGGCGTTTTTTAAAATGGCAGACAAAACGCACTGAGAAGAGTTTCATGAGCGACAATTAAAAGTCCCATAGTTTGTATTATGTCTTTTCTAATGTTTAAAAGGCTGTGCAATCAAATATATGTGTATACCATGAGCAATTGAGGCCAAAGGAACAAAATGTACATTTCAGATGCCTTTTGATTATCCACTGGTGACTGGGACTGAGCACTGGAGACGTAAAATGCGCACCGTATTCAGAGGTTTAGATTCGAATGGAGACGGTTTGGTCACCAAAGAAGACTACGTGAAGAGTGCTCAACGTGCTGCACAGTATTTGAACCTGAACGGTAATAAAAATGAGCTAATGCTGTCATTAACAGTACACATATGTGGTCTGCAATACCAAGAGGGAAGTTCCATTTCCCTCCCCCATTCTCCCTAGACGCGACAACCCCAAAGAACGGCAAAAGAACTAAGACTGGATTCCCATACCTAGATCGTTCTAACAAGATCGGTCCAACTCCTTGGGGTTTCTCGCTAAATTGCTTTCAGCTTAAACGGCTTAGATAGTCTAGCACGCCTACTGAAGCTGCTAACGATACTTAATCCCCCTCTAGCAGCTTCAGTAGGCGTGCCAGACATCTAATTAAGCCGCTGAAGTTGGTGTAATTTAGCGAGAATACGCTCGGAGATAGATCGATCCACAGTTAGTACGACAGGATCTGGAAATGGTCCCTAATGCATATTTTGGAACGATCTGCCAGAGGTACACGTGTACGTGTATTTCTGTATGCTAGGGTTGTGTTTTACCCCACTTATCCCGCTCACCCCCGGCCCCTTCTCCAACCCCTCCCTCTGCCACCTCACCCTGCTTCAGATAACGGTTACTGAAAAAAGGAAACACATGTTAGTTTTCATTGACCTTTATTTATAGACAAGATACATGTAGGTGTAAATGTGCATGAAATATGCATTTAGGGTCTCTGTTATATCTCAGGGGTAATTTCCATAATTGCAGTCTTGTTGGTGAAAGAATGCAATGTGTTCAGTTTAAAAGGCTTTACGCGAAACCGTACATTGCATACAAAACATGTACAAACAAACTGAATACAAACAAAATTATTTGATCATTACAGAGAAACAAGCCAGAGCTCAACTAGACCTGCGCCTAGCAATTTCGAGAATAGTGAACGCTAAAGATGATGAGGACGGGATGGAACCAGTAGTGACAGAAGAAGAATATATAAATAGACGTATAGAGACTTTCAACGACAGGCATTTTCGACAGGAGATGTATCCTGTCATCATATCAGCGGAATTCAGCACCATGGATACCAATGGCGATGGTCTGATTTCCCACGAAGAATTTGCTGCATATTGCTGTAGTTTTAACATTCCTACTGGATACTCCAAGAAGATGTTTGATGTTCTGGACGTCAATAACGATGGGGTAATCTCCATTGAAGAGTTCGGTCAAGGTCACGTCGATTTTTGGCTTGGTGAAGACCCAAACAGTAAATACAATGAGTTTATTGGACCTTTAGTTGATTGAGCGAGTGGAATATTTGCATTAAAATGCGATGAACAGAGACAGAAATATAAAACCAGAATCCTGTTGATAGTATTGGAACATTTACCAGGAAATATCGGTACATAATTGTTCGAGACTTTGTGGACGACTTTAAACTTAACAGTTGAAGGTTTAAGAAATTTAGAGTATTTGTGAAATTTCTGAAATATTTAAGTTTTCCAAGAATTTTGAGTTTCTATTTATTGCTGCTGACTCCAATGTCTCACATATTTTGAATAACGAAGTGAATTACGTATTTTAATCGATTATGTAGCTTTTGGCAAATGCAGAACATTTACTAGAAAAAACTGGTTAACATCAGCCAGGACCTAGGGCCCACTTCGGCCTCATGGCATTATATATTTTGCTCCCTACAGATTTGTAACGTCTAATATTGAAGTCTTTTTACCCTTTTACGATCACATAAGGCAGTTATGACTTTTTCAATTTCAAATCAATTTTTTCCACTTGGTGTTACTTGCGCATCCCAATCCATTTAATAAATATGAAGGTCTGCGAATTTAAAATGATAATAATTTATTGCAAAACAAAAAAGTTATTGTAATGCGGACAGAGCATAAATAAATACATAATAAAATTTGTAATCCAGTAGCTCCATTCAAAATTTTTTTCCGAAAGTGTTTTGAATTTTTTAAATATTTAGGTCACAAATACTACAAATATATTTAACTCATCATTAAAGGTAACATTAACTTATTATTATTTCACTCAGTATATAATTTAATTTGGACCGATTTTTCATCCGTATTCTTTTTTACCATAATATTCTTTTCTCACGAATACCATAACAAAATAATCATTTCAATCTATTTTTTCTTTAAAAATCACTAACAGAGCAAGTTCAAGCATTTTCCGTTTTCAGTGGTGATCAATTTTGAGTCTTTATTATGAATGGCTAAATGCATGCCCATGATGGTAATTTTTGGACTTAAGCGTATCTGACAGTTCCCCATCCCTTTTTGGTATACCGGTAATTTTGACAAGCCTCGTTCGTTCGGATTGTTGTTTTCTATAAAGGTTGTCCAACTTTCGTTTGTAGTGCTGCAGCTTATTTGACTACCATTGAAGTGCCTTCACCACTCTCCATTCTCATTCTCCTCGTCATTCTACATGTATTCTCGCTTTATGGCTAGCCTAACTTTTTCTTTTTTTTTCTTATCCGTCCAATCGGTCATCTCAAGCGCAGCCCTTTTTCTGTATAGTTTCTGCAAAGGTGAAAGAACAATCAATTTAGTGGTCAATAACATATTTACTGATTCCAGTCAAGCATACAACTGTATTTTAAGAAAAATTTAGGGTTGGAAAGTTAACGTGCACACTCTACATAATAGAATCAACAACGTGCCAAAAAAAAAAATCGCACACCTCTGCAGTAGACATCTTAATTCACATTGAACATTCCTTCTAAGTCTGTCTTATGTGGTTTTCCTTCTTTCCACCCTCTTCCCTTTTCTTATCGTCTTTTAGTGATTTATTACATCTTACAAGCGCCTAGAATTGAGAATGGGTTTTGGTTATTGTTTATTATCTCAAGTGTCCCATGACATCGTTTTAATGCCTGTGTGACAGGAATGGTAGTTCGCAATGAACCGTTGTCCGTTCCCCATTACCAGTGCTTTATACAGGTGACTTTCGTCTCATATACTGTAGTAACCTACCCTCTACCAGGGTGGCAGATTATATAAGGAAAAATGGGAAAGACCAGAGATAGTAAAATGACCGTCTATTTATCTTAAGACATCTGTGAATATCCTGTGAAAAGTCAATCTGTGGCCCTTGTAGAGGGCAGTAGTATCTCCGATAAACTCGGACTAACCCTAATCTGTACTAATCATATGAGACCCCGGGATTCCGTTTTTAGTACTACCATTTGTGTCACACCGGGTTAGATCCACAAAAGGGATTCTTAACAGAACTCGAATTTCAAAATATACGTAAACCCACTGCTGTTAGACTTGAAAAAGCATACGGATGTAATTGGAGGGGAAAATATGTGGTGACCTTAAATAAAGAATACACTAGACTACACTGGATGAGTGGTTTGCTGCACGCCCTTTGACATTTAAATGTTGATGGTTTACTATATATACGTCTCAAAGCACTGTACAGATGAGGTTAAATACTTGTGGTTGGTCCCATTGCAGCCCTTAACAATACATCCCGTTTTACTTTTCAGTGACATTCCCAACAGTTGAAAGTTGAAAGGTGGATATTTACTTATTATATTAAATTAAAAAGAAAAGTAACTTCAACATTGTAGGTCCACAGTATAACGATGACGGCCACTTTAATACAAGTACCTCAGCTAAACGTATTTTCAGGTCACAGGGATACATTTTTCACTGCTTTGCGAATCGCGTCTATTGTGTGACCCTAGGTTCACACAATATTTCACTGTCATATTCTGAATAAAGATATACTTTTTATTTGTATGGTTTCAATGAAGCATTCGCTTTCTATGTATTCCAGCGTGTAAAAATCGTGCGATTATGTGTGGTAAAGCAAGTCCTGTTCCTGTGGATGTACAAAAAGTAGAATGGAAGATTGAAGTTGGGACATTATTGCTTTTATTGCTCTCGTTGAATTAAGCGCTACACTTCAAATAGCGGTATACAGATAGAGTAGACTGACTGACCTGTGGCTCACTTATCTTGGAACAGTACACTGTATATGAGCACTGGGCACTATAGTAAATAACGCGCCCACTGTAAGCTATTTACGTTGACCCAATGAGACCTCATTTCTCTTATCCAGGTTTGGCACATTCAGGACACTCTCTGTACAATATGAATTAAGGAACATCGGGTCAAATTTGAGTTCATGTTGCGTTTTCATATCTATAACAGTGGTACGTCTCTCTTCTCTGCATTCACCATGTCCAGGATCACCATACCTATCCGAAGATTAACAACAGTTATGCGGCCCGTAGAATGCAGATTGGCAATACCTTTTCAACCAGAAAGGAGATTGGGGAAGACTAATTATTCATCGCCGTCTTGGATTTGTCGTAATGGTTTTGAGCTGGGATTTCCAAGATTTTCTCAACCCTCGCGAGGACTTGTAAACATACCATTAAGAGTACAGAAGGTATTAGTATACTATCAATATATTAATAAACATTAAGCTACGCAACCTGCAGATAGTAGATTCTGTGCCTTTTAAACTTGATAAGTTATAGGAAAACAATTTCAGATGCCTGTTGAGTATCCATTGCTGACCGGCTCAGAACACTGGAAACGAAAGATGCGATCAGTCTTCATGTCGTTAGACTCGAACAAAGATGGAATCCTTTCTCGCAAAGACATGGTATTGAGTGCGAAGCGATCGATACAACATTTGAATCTTAAAGGTAAATATTCAGATAATTACCCCTGCTATAATTTACAATAACCAACGGTATGCTGTAGATTTGTATGTTCCAGATTTATATTGTTATCCCTTTATACCTACAATGTCGATTTCAATGCCAATTGCTTCCCACCCCCCTCCTCCCATCTCTCTCTCTCTCTCTCTCTCTCTCTCTCTCTCTCTAACACATACACACAGTTTTCGTTTTTTTTTTTCAGAAGACAAACTAAAAGATGTGTTAAAACTGCGTCTGTACATCTGGGAGACATCGATGGGTAAGAATGCAAAAGGTGAAATTGCAGAAGAGATATCGTTTGAAGAATTTGTACAGAACCGTATCCTAGCCTTTAACGACATGCAAGCCAGGCAAGAGATTATGGCGCATATTATTTCCGTGGAATTCAACACTATGGATACTGATGGTGACGGTCTGATTTCTTCCAAGGAACACGCCATTTTTTGCGAAAGTTTAAACATCCCGCCAGATCAATCAAAGAAGATCTTTGCTCTCATTGACAGTAACAAAGATGGCTTAATCACCATGGAAGAGTTTGGACAATCTCTTTGTGATTTTTGGCTGGGGGAATAAGACCCAAACAGGAAAAACAATGAATTCGTGGGTCCTTAAAATGACTGAATATCACATTGTGTTTATTGATAACATGGAATAAATAGTCTATTGGTGTTCCAAATGCTCATAACCCTAAAGACAGATTAGATTTTTGCACTTTAAAGAAATTATTTTAATAGAAAGAGAAATTGCCATGCAGTGGTTATACCTGATGAGTTGGATAAAAAGCGGTATAAGTGGTCGGATGCCTTTGAAAAGTATATGTAGTTAAAATCCTTAAAATTGAAACTGGTAAGCAGCGTAAAAATCTCCTGTAATAGCTTATAGTACTGAAAATAGTATAGTATTTTACTTCCTCATGTTTTCTTTCCATTTCCTCTGTACACGTATAAATGTATACCTTTTTCGCGGTACTTCAGTGAGTTAAATATCCACTTAACAGGCAGTTAGCATTATATCCTCTACATTACCCGTACATATATTCACTGAGATAAGTAGAAAGTTATACCTGTAGTACCCGTATATTGTACACTAGTTTGGTATATTCTACCACCTTTTATTTCTCCTTAGTTGTATAAGTTAAGTATCCATGTTGTAAGGTGGTCCATTTTTCATTTGTGGTGTACCGCGGTATAAAAGTTATTATAATGATGATAATAAAACTGTGTAAGGTCATATCTATATGTTTACATGTATTTGCCTATTTCTGCTCTCCCTAGCAACACGTCACAGGTGCCCCTATTACCCGCTTCGGGCAGGCTTAGATCAGATGAATTAAGAATTCAAACGATTTTCCAGTGTATGGATCAGAAAGCCGAGGTAAGGGGACATTCCGGCGGTACTGTACGTTAGTTTTTTTTTTTTTTTTTTGTTTTCAAATGACCGTTCATTTTGAATTGTTTAGTTTGTATTAAGTTAAGGATAGGCCTATATAAATATATTAAAGCCTCTTTTTATACTGCACATCCTCATCCTTCGTTCTAATTTTGTAAAAAAAAGGCATTTTAAAAACTTCACCACCCTTCTCATCCTTCGTTCTAATTTATCTATCCCTTTCTGCTCTTGGATTTTACCCTAAATCAAATTCATAAAGGCTGATTTAGTTAAAAAATGACTTGCCAGTCATTATAACCAGATACCATTTTCTTATATGCTCCTGTCAACATCAAGTACGCACAAGAAAAAATTATTTGAGGGGGTTTAAATCGTTTTAAGGTGTATGTTATGTTTTATAAAAAGCAATGGACGGCAAAAATACGCACTTGGGAATTTTGAAACCCATGGAGTGAAGCTTTAACCTCTGCTTTATTTCACTTCCGTGCAACGTATGACACAATAAGGTGGCTAGGGTCGGATAAATTCTGATTTTTTTGTCATTCTTATCACGTATAAGACATCAAAAATTGAATAAAGGTTAAATCCTGGTTTATATTCACCAGACGATACGTACGTTATCAAATCTATAATACGTCTGCTGCAGGTACCTCGGCTTTCAGCATGTTTAGGATCATCAGACCTTTACAAGGACTAGCAGGAGTCATGCGACCTGCAGAAAGAAGACTAGCAATACTTTNCCGGACGATTCCCCCCGAAAGAATATATATTTATATACAAAATATAAAGTAAAGAGTACAAAGTTCAAATCTTTTCATCCATTTTATGAATATATCTCAGTTTGATGATGCAACTCGAGGATAGATAATATTCATTAAATTATTTTCATGTAGTACAAGTACAGAAAATTTTAGTGATATAAGTACAGAACATTTTGTTTCAAATCTGATCAAAGTACATCTCTAGTTAAGGTGGGATAAACAGATGATCTCACTCATCCAGGTGACCCTTTGATAAATTAACTGTTACTTTTTTAAAAGTTAAAAAAAATTGCTTAATTACTGTCCCCCCCCCTTGATTAAGTATTGAATCAAGGTGCATCTCTACGGAGAGGTGGGGTAAACAGATTTTCTCGCTTATCCAGGCATCCCTTTGATTATTTGTCACTTTTAATTGCTTGACCACCACCCACCTACTCACTACCCATAAAATATTCATAAAATATCTGTTTACCCAACCTTTACCTGAAGGATAGGTGGTTATACTTTGATTAGATGTTTAATAAAACTTTCAGTACTAGTACTAAATGAAAAAGGACTTTGTTATAAAATAATTTTTGTTCATGATGATGTTGCATTATCACACTAAAATATTAATAAAATGGTTGACATGTTTTAAACTTTACACTTTTAACATTGTTTTTGTGTATGAATAGATATTTCTTGGGGGGGAATCGTCCGGGGGGGAATTGTCCGGGGGGGGGGGGTATTGTCCGGGGGGAATAGTTCGGGGGGGAA